TCCCCCTTTTTTACCTTTGGAATGGAAATGTTTATCTTGTGCCATTGCATGTTGGAAGCGTTTAACTTTGTTTTCATTTGTAGTGGGGCTTGAACACTTGCTTCAGCAGCACATATACTAAAATTGGGATGACAGAGAGAAGATTAGCATGGCCCCTGTGCAAGGATGTACTGAGGCTTGCCTTACATCGTGGAGGAGGCTTGGGACTTCTACTTTCCAGCAGTGCTAAACTATTAGGACTTTACCAACTCTTGGACTAAATGCCTTTTGCTTAAAGGATGTTCATGAGTTTTGGGGGGTCCAAAGACAAAATGTTGTTTCTAATGTAATATAATGTTGACAGACTTAATGCTGGTTCTTAAGGATTTTTCAACCTATGTTATAATGTTCAAGTTATGAAATGGTAAGAATTAGCATGTCTTAGTATCTGGAGCCTGGTTTAAAGAAATATGTCTGGTTGCCAAGTTGACAAGGGGTAGACTGTTATGATTGATACATTGTGTCAACTTGAGAAACTTAGAAGTTTTAACTGAGAGACTCAGCAGGGAGCCAGGGCTCTTACTTTGTAAATATTCTCAGCCTGTGCAAGAGGAGGGCAGGGGGATTTTGTGAGTGCTTCCACCACCATAGGGTATGCGGGTGGCCTGGGTACAATATAAGAAAGGAGAAGAGGCTTGTTTCTCCTCTTTTTTCTCTGGTTGCCTTGTTGCTCTGGCTGCTGCCTTGAAGTGTTACCCCTGTGCCATGCCACCATGCTTTGGAATCAGCTGATTATGGACCGAAACCTCCAAAAACTGTAAGATAAATAAACCTTTCCTTCCTTCATTTTTGGTGTCAAGTATTTTGTCCAAGCAATGAAAGAAAAGTAAAAGTAACCAAGACAATGTCCCTGGCCCAGATTAATGATGAGCCAGGGCAGAGGCACACACAGACAGAGTCCCCTACCAGGACACAGCTTCCTAGGTTGAAACCCATCCAGACATGTCAACAGGGCCTAGACCACCCTAACAAACAGGAGAGTTCATTTGACTCTTTGTTCTTGTTTTCTACACTGGGTAGTCATGAACTTCCTGTGTAGAAATCATGGTGGGCCCCTGGCCAAGCAAATGTTGAACCCAGCTTGTCCCTAATTCAATGCTCAGAACCTCATGTATGCCCTCCCTACCATCTTCTTGCTAAGGTTGACTGTGGAATCAGTGTCCTATCACCAAGCTAAAAGGATCCAGAAAAACCAGATAACCAGGTCCTTGAGGCCGTAAACCTATCCTGTTTCCCAACACCAAAGGAAAATGCTGTAGCCAGAAAAAACCAGGCAGAGAACTGTGGCTTGATGGTATCACAGTAACATCTGAAACTCCTCCTATGGTGCTTGCTGTGCACCAGCGCACCTCACATGCTGTGTGTGCATCTGCAAAACAATTCATTTCATCTCTTCTCATTCAACAGAAAAGTCATGATCCAATTTCACAGATGAGAAAACTGAGGCTCAGAATCAGACCTCCTAACCCATCAATCAGTTGCCTCCACACTTCTGTTGTTCCCTGCTTCCATGTCTCCTGCTTGCATGTCTCTCCTGCCCCTTATTCTATGTCTCCACATGTATGCAAAGACTTCCTGCAGTCCCTGCAGAGCATCCCCCTATCATCAGTCCTGCCTGGGGCCAGTGCCAGCAGCACAGAAAACATTTAAATTAAGCTTTCTAACAGTAAATGTTTTTGAAGTGCTCACCTCACCTGTTTCCATGATTAGATAAAAGTCAAAACAAGTTGCAAAGAAAAGTAAAGGTCATTTTACAGCCACACAACCCAGCTAAGTATTTTAAGTACAGCCTGGAATTATGAATCCCAGCTGTGGATGATAGGGAGGTGGATAGAATTACACACTTAGGCCTGGCAGGAGCCTGGCCCAGTGAGCCCAAGCCCTAATGAGAGGGAAGAAAACTACAACCCCAAGAAGGGGCGTGACCTGCCCAAAGTGAGGCGGAGGCCACAGTGAGGCTGCACGGCTCTGGGCCCAGCTTCAGCAGGTTGCTCTATGTCTGATTAACTCATAGCTGAACGTGGAGCTGCTTCGCAGACACCTGACAAAAGTTATTTCCAGCAAAGGGTTCTATTTAGTCCTTACACATGACCTGGGTATTTTCTCTCCTGGAATTTGATATCTTGGGAAACCTGCCAAGCACTATTCACTAGGGAGGGTGAGTATGTAAAAGGGGAAAGGGAAAATCAGAGCAGGAAGGTGCTGGCAAGCCGGATAAATTTCTCACCCTGCACAGGGGCTGGGGCCCCAGGATGCAGAGCACAGCCCCCAGCTGCAAGCTTCAGGGCTTGCACAGCCCAGGCCCAGCAGATGGGGAGAGGGGGAGAGTCCCTGACCAGCTCCACGGAGGCAACTTTTCTCCCCACACATGCCTCTGAGCAGGGGACCACACCCATCCAACTGCCTGTTTTTCATGTTATCATTGCTTTAGAAATAAATTTCCCAAACTCATCAATCAGTAAACCTATGTCCAAAGTAACAGCAATTATCATTGTCAAGGCTCTTTAATTTTTTGCCAAAGGATGGCTTAATCTATTACACTAATAGATCAGGATGGAGCCCACTTATCATTTCTGAAAACTACACGACACATATAAAATAACAGTCAGATGTGAGAGGAGGCCTTTTCTCTGATTTACAGCTTGCCTTTCTCCTTTCTCTCATTTATTCTTCCTTTCATTCATCCCACAAACACTGTGTGTGCACCTCTTGGGTGCTGGGTACCAGGGAGAAAGTCACTGCAACAACCCTCCCAGAGCTCCCGCAGCCCTTCCATGAACAAATTATAACATGGAACTTGCTGGAAATGTAGTTCCTGGGCTCATTCTTAAGGTTGGGACTCACATCCCACTGCATCTTTGTGTTGCCTGGTGATGCACAGATCATCCTATGAGAAACACCAGGAAAGCTGCAAGCATGCTGTCCAGAAGGACAGAGGCATGCCAGGACAGAGAGAAGGGTGTCTCTAGAGAACAGGGAGGGTAGGGTCCAGAGAAAGTGGCATCTGAGCCACCTAAAGGATGGAGAAATTGGCTGCTTGGGGATGACAATTAGGGACATGCAGGACAGACATTCAGGAAATGTGGACAGAGGAAACAGTGCAAGGATTCAGAGTAAGGAGGCAAGAAGAAACCCTCAGCCTGAGCTTGCAGGCACCAAATGCCAATTCCGGGCTCCCTAAAGCCCCAAGAGGTTGACACATTTGTCTCCGTTGGTGTCTACTGGTCAGGACAGGATGAGCAGAGAGAGGAGAGCAGAGAGACTATTTAAAAGGGCCTCTCACCATGCTGCTAGCCCCGTTCCTGCATTCCCCTCTCAGGCTTTCTGTCTGCTGCTGTCTTGAGCAAATATTCACATTAGAAAATAGAACCATCATAAAGTCATTTCTACCACTGAGTGTATTTAGCACAGTCCAGCCCCAAACTTAATGCCCAAGGAGACCATTAATTGAACCTCTGCACAGAGCCCAGCAGGGCACAAGCCAGAGAGAGGCCGAGCATAGACCTCCTGAGGTCCCTAACTTCCCCCGCACCAGTTAATTTATTCCACGTACAGTCTTCTCCCAGTCTGCAGGGAATCCAGCTTCATGGAGGTCCTCTTAGCAGAGGATTTATCAAACCAGAGTATATGCATGGTATGAACATCAGATCCATTATCTAAGCTGTTGGTTTTAGTCGAAATGTCAAGAAATGATTTAGGATAAAATCTGTCACAAAAGCATTTATTAAAAAATCTTTTGCTGCTCTTCATCTACAAACATTTACTACCCTGCATACAAATGTCAGCAGTGCAGCCTAATATACTTCTTCATTTATTTACTGTTCATTCCTTCTGGATGGAAGCCAAAAATGATATCCCCATGGGCTGCAGCACAGTGCAAACTAGAGAACATGCCTCACAGCCTGATGTCATCGAAGCCATCACAAGACTCGGGTGCCATTTGATCACAGTCCCCTACGTGAAGGTCAGGCCCTCTGAGGAGCAGAGTCCTCTCCAGGAAAGTTTTGCAGCCACATAGAAGTGTGACAATGTATTTACTAGGAATTTCCAGAGTAAACTAGTAAACAAGAATATGACCATCAAATAGACCCAAATATGTCCAATGTGCTTTTGTCCAAATATAAAACGTATAAAAATAAAATTAATCTGAAATTTCTTTGCCTCTGTTTACAGACCCTTCCTGTTGACCAAATCTTCTAAATTAAGCCCACTCCCCCTAGAATCACTGAGTTCTGCCATGGGAAAGGACTTCTTTTTATATTGGTGTGACTTGTTCCCTTCGTGATGAGAAAATGGTAAGGCCTCCTGAGAAACTGAGCAGTCTGTCGAGGTCACACAGCTGCTGGTGACAGGAACAGCCCTAGAACCTTGGATTCATGGATTTAGATTAGATGGATGTCATTTGGCCCAGCCAGAGGAAAGCAAGAAGGGATTCCAACAGCACAGAAAGCAGCCAAAATAAGCAAACAAATACAGGCCACGGGAACTCAGGGGATGCTTGGGTTTCAGAGCCTCAACTGCAAGCATCGAAAACCATATTTCACCCCCAAGTAACCCTCATCTGCTTTCTATCTTCCAAATCTACACCCATCACGTCATTCTTACAACGGGTTATCGATGCCTTCATTACGGAACCTATGTACTCTAAATTGGCAAGGCAAACATGCAGCTGTTAAACACAATCTGAGAAAGAAAAGATCACTAGCAATATGCTCCAGGCTGAAGGAAGGCAAGGCAGGCTGTCCACATTGCCTTGCCCCTGGGGACCTTGGTTTTAGTGTGAATGTAACCCCAGGGCCAGCTTTGGAAATCCAATGAGAAGTGTACACTTCGCCCTTCCTGCATTTTGGGAGTACCTCCTATTCTTAACTTCAGCAAACTGTGCCAGCACGCAAGTGCCATTCCCACCCATCCCCACCCCGTGTCTTGGCATCAGGGTGGTGCTGACACCAGAGCCTCACCCACATCCATTCTGATCACCCCTTCAGAAAGGGAAGAGCAGGGAGAATGGAGGAGTTGCAGAGCCAGCAGGAACCAACTTCCGTGCCATCTTTTGGGATGAGCTGGGGTAGGAGGACCTGAGAGACAGAGAGAAGCTTATGTTAGAGAGGAAGGCAAGCCCAGCATGCATGTGCACATTGATGGATAAAGACCAGGAACCCATCTTCTATTCACCTGCCTCTGTGAGTCTACCTTCATTCCTATTTTTCCCGGTTTCTTATTTTCCTCTCTTCTTCTCCCCCTGCTTCACATAATGAAGACCATGTTGATGTAAATGGTGAAAAGAATATCACTGGTGTCTCTGCTACTCATAATAGGAAATCTCACCCTTCTGGGCTGCTCTGGGTCTACCTGTGCTACCCCAGCATCACTCCTTGTGCGTTTGTGGTCTTCAGCTGCTCCTAGGCCAGTCTCCTTGGAACTGAGGCTTCCTGGCACCCTCTGCTGCTGCCCCCACTCACAGGAGTTCTTCCTGGCATGAAGTACATCTGTATCACTTAAAGAAGCAAGCTCAATTATTTAACTCTACCTAGATTTAGTTCAAATATAGGAGTTACAGTGTACATCTGAGACTTCTGGGAAATTGATTTTTCTGCTTAAGATCATTTCATAGGGTTTAGCATGAAAACCAAATCGGGCGCAAACTGATCTCTTAGCAGATACTGAGCTTGTTTCCTTTTTCTAAAAACCAGCTGAGATGAGAGCTGCATTCCTGCCCCTGCACTTGCAGTATGTGGCTAGTGATTTTTCCAGGCAGAAAATGCCCACCAAAGATCACCCTTAGGATAGCTACTCTACCTTCTGTCACCATTCGACCAGACAAGTCCGAAGATGACCACAGGGTTGGGACAGGAGTTAGCACACAGCTAACCTCAGAACACATCCTAAAGCCAGGAAATTGGAGGGGGGTCTGGGGTTCTTATTTCTCAGCTATTTTCAAGTGGTTTCTTTCATTTCCTCCTAAGAGTAGAGTAAAGCACTGATTGACCAAGAATTTTCTTTTTCTTTTTCACGGTAGTACTAGGGATTGAGCCCAGTCTCTTCACACTGAGTTATATCCTCAGCCGCTTCTTGCATTTTGAAACATGGTCTTACTAAATCATTAAGTTGCCAGGCTGGGTTTGAACTCACCTCCTGCCTCAGTCCCTCATAAAACTAGGATTATAAGCACGTGCCACTACACCCAACTGTGACCCAGAATTTTTCACAGTCACCTCTGACCAGAAAACAATATTGATGATTCTATCATGGAGCTTATTTTGATGTTTACAGTTAAGTCAGTGGGTCCCAGTTTCGGAAATGATTCTCTGGGCTTAACATAAACTATTTGTCTTCAAATTCCTCGAAGAAGAACAAAATTGCATGATTACCAGAAGAAAATATCCTGAAAGAACTTCCCAAAAGATGACAGCTTTAAAAATGGAGATGATGAGATATTAGATTAATAATAGCTGTTTGTTCACAAAGAAAAGCAAGAACAAATGGTACCCACAAATCATGAACAGGGTCCCCATTGATTTTACTGAAAAACCATTCCTGAGTAATTTCCTTTGGAGAAAACAGTCTACGTGTTACGATATGGCCTCAAGAGTTCTAGTTATTCCAATAAAAGAGGAACATGAAATTGGAGGAGCAAGGTTCCTGGAAATGGGTTTTAAAATGAGAATTCAGTCAGAATGAGCCCTACTGTTAGCAGTGAGTCACCCAGTGCTGGTCTGGACCTGAGGAGACCCATTGTGTAATGACGAGTGTGTTACCCTGTTCCCTGGGGGAGCATCAAAGACTTGGACACAACACAGAAGGCTCCAAACAAATGGTGGTGACTATTATTTACTGTTATAAATGAGGCACAGTGAGCTGCATATTAAAATAAAACATAAAGATCTCTCTGCTAAGTCAGATGAAATCTAGCAACCTATTAAAGGTGACCAGTGCAAAGATCTTGATCTCCTGGGTAAAAACACAGACAAGACAAGTACAGAGAGATGTTGAGGTCCCTGAAATATCTGCCATTCATTGAAGTGCTGAAGATGCACTCTGAGCCATCCACAAAAACAAGGGCATCCAAGAGAACTTTCCACGATAAGCAAGATACTCGTGTTTGTGCCAAGGGGGTGGTTACTGGCACTTGAACTGTGCTGAATGCCATTGAGAAAACAAGAGTTTTGAATTTCATTTAATTAATGGGTTTAATGGATTATTAATCAATTAATTGATCCTATTTAAATAGCTATACATGGAAAATGGATGCTATGTTAGACATCGCAGCTCTAGGACGAGCTGGGACTGTGGCACAGAAATCTAGGTGATCAGATGACGCATCATGGATCCAGGCTGCTCCTCTCCTCCCCTCGCCTGCCCTCCCACCAGCACACAGACTTCCTTCCAACCTGGGCTCCTGGACACAGCTGTGAAAAGGGGTGCTGAATTCCCAGGCCCTCCAACCAAGCAGACAGAAATAACCAAACTTAGTGCACCGCTAGACCGAATGCCTCCCACCCAGACTGACTGCCCCGCTCCCACCTTCTCTGGCTCTGACTTATCTTCTGTCCCCCTAGTCTTCTGTCCCTCACCCACCTCAGACAGCTCCTCTGGCCTCTGTTTCTAAGCCGAGTGCTGCTCCCGTGTCTGCCCTGCTATCAGAGAGGGGACAGGGAAGTGGAGACAGGGTTGCTAACACAGTGTGTCTCAGGGCGATGCACTACATGTACAGGAGGAATATCCCATTAAGTCACTGGAGGTAGATAAATGAAAATCCGAAAGAGTAAACTCAGGTAGCAAAAAGGTGCGAGGAGTATAGGGCTATACTAAGGACACAGTGACAGGAAGGCACCTGAAGCTGTTCCCTGTGAGGTAAGCAAGGCAAATCCTGATAAAATCTGAAATATTTGTATGATTTGCCAATGATTATATGGGAATGAATTATTCTGGGAACCCCAAAGCAGTGGCAAAGGTCTGAGTTTTACTCAAAGGAAAAGTAGGGACAAGTCCAAGTAGAGAAGCCACCTGCAAAAGTAACTGCTGACATCTGGGGAGTAAGTCTAACAGTCTACTCACCCTGCTCCCTGCCTATTGTAGGCTAAACTATGCCTCCCGAAAAGATGTGTTCCAGTCCCAGCTCATGACTATGAGCATATTAGGAGATAGGGCCTTTGCAGAGGCAATGAGATTAAGAATCAATCACACTGGATTAGAGTAGAACCTAGTCCAATGAGTGATGTCTTTATAAGAGGGACATAGAGAATGACATCTAAAGATGGCAGCAGAGACTCCGGCCATGCAGCTGCAAGCCAAGGATTGCAACCATAAGACCATAGCAACACCAGAAACTAAGACAGGCATGAAAATGACAGCATGGGGTCCAGCTGTGGCCTTAATGTCAGACTTCTATGCTCTAGAATTGTGCAGCAGTTAACTTCTCTTGCTTCAGGACATCTTACTTTGTGCCAATTTGTCATGGCAGTGACACGAGGCCAGTACTGCCCCAAATGGGCTGACTGCCCTCTTCCTGTTTACTTTCCCAAAATCAGACACTGGCCTGGCATAGACTAAGTGCTTAATAAATTTTGTGTATGGATAAGTATAGGTGTGTCAGAGGGAGATGTATGCAATTTTGAAGAAAACTCTTTGGTGATAAGAGGGGCTTCTGAAGATTTTGCGGCATGATTACCTCCTTTCTAAGCGTAGACCAAGTCATCAAAAAGGATCCTTCTCTGATTTTTGTTACCATACTTCTATTCCCCTCCACTCTCCCTTTCCTGAGTGTTACCACCCCTCCATCTGATCGCAGGCCATCCTAGCACCAGAGTGGCAGTTTGATCCAAATTTATTTCTGTGTCTTAATTTATAGTCAGAATTCATTTAATGCTTAAATTTTTTAGAGTTTCCTCAACAGCTGAAAGCTATGATTTAAACTTCAAATTGAATCATTCTAACAGATAATCAAGTTTTACAGTGTAGGATAGAAGAATTCTAAAGATGGAATCCAATAAGACCTTCACCTTTTGGAGTAGAAGGAGGGAAATTGAATATAGTGATAGAGGGGAATCACAGTCCTGTAACATCACAGAGCACAGGGAACTTTGTAATTGTGATCAAGGTTACTAATCAGTTGACATCAACATAGAGAGACCCTCTGGGAGTGCAGATTTCATCTGTGTGTTTTCTCAGACTAGAAGTAGAACACAAAGTCAGAGAGATTGCCAGTGTGACCAGGATTGAGGGGCCCTTACTCTCATGAAGATGAAGGGACCCCAGCTGACAATAGTCCCTACCTGTGAGCCAGAAAGGAAAGAGATCTGTTTTAGAACTTTAAGAAATTCTGTTCCACATATGGTATGTACGGATTCAGAGGAAGATTTCTACCCAGGCCGCTAGGTAAGAACCCAACCGGGCCAAAGTCAAGGTATTAGGTGTGGGAAGCCTTTGGCAGCAGACACAGCCAAACCCACTGAACTTCCACACTCCTGAAATGCAAGATTGTAAATGGGTTTTGTTGTAAGCCACGAAATTTGGAGCAATTTGTGATACACTGATATATAATCAATAGAAGCCTAATATTTTGGAAGACGTCCCAGATCCATTTTAGAAAGACAATATTCTCTCCTTCCAGCAGGAGTGGCAACAGAGCCAAGGCAGCTCGTTAAGGGACGCTAGAAGGACCTACATTGCCTGAAAAACAGAACACACAAACTCCAGCCCCAGGCCAAATCCAGCTTCATCTGTTTTTGTATAACCCACAGCCTAAAAATGTGTATTGCACTTGTAAGTGCACTGGAAAAAAACAGAAGAATATTTTGCAACATATGAAAATGTATGAAATTCAAATTTTAGCACCCATAAATAAAATTTTGTGGAAATGCTCACTTACCAGATGTTGATGAGTAACTTTCTCTCTTCAACAGCCGAACTAAGCAAGGGCAGGAGACAGCGCAGCCTGCCAAGTATAAGAGACCGCCTGGCCCTTTACAGAAAGGGCTGCCTGCTTCTGAATCAGTAAGGAACTCTTCCAAGTACTACAGGGGACACCACATAGCAGCCACTCACAAATGCAAGACAGAGGCACTGTCTGAGTGAA